TGTATACGTTTCTCATCATGGGAAACGCTGCGAACGCGTTAAATCGGCCAGCATTAACGCGTTTCGCAGTGAATATATCCTAATTTTTTATCCCATGAGTATATGTGGAAAAGTAGATTTGCATATAGGTATTTTAGATTAACTTTTGTCGAGCATCTAGACTAAATGAGAACTAATGGATGAACTATAAAGAATGGGGATCTCCATATTTTCTTAATATCTTCTCTAGCTTTCATAAATTAAAACTAAACTTCTTTTTAAAACATCCAGCTTTTGATTTTCTACAAAATCATGCATAAATAGTTATCATACAGATAAAAACAAGCAAAACAGTTACTATATAGTAATACTGCAGACATAATACAACATCAACAGTTTCTCAACAAAAAATACAGTTATTTTATATTTATATGTTTTCATATCGAACTATATAGACAAATGTGAACTAATTGTACTGTCAATTTTGTAGAGCTTAACAAACTCTATCTTATTAGTATGTTCATAAATCTTTATAGCAAAATTTTATTGAACTAATAAAGAACTAAATAAATGTTATTTTTGAAACTCCGCCAAATGGAGGATAGTACAATTTGTCAAAGAATTTATCTAGATAGTTTGATCAGAGAACACGTAAATACAAGAGTTTTGTAAAAAATTAAACGCTGAATCTTTAAAAAAAAAGAATTCAGTCAGATTCCAGGGAAACTGGAAAAAATATGAAAACCCTCGTTCTTTATAGTCCATTTGTTATTGTTCTTATATCCAACTCATGTTTTTAATTCATCAAATGATAATATTTTGATAACTATTCCTCTTTTTTTTTGCTTTTTATTTTTGACGATTAAAAGCAACACTTTTTTATTTAGGAAAAAATTACTTTTTCACATCTCTAACCAATAGAAAAGTTTTTTTTCTGAATGTGAGATGCTCGATAAAGAGAAAATATTTATAAATTTTTGAAGAATTCAAAACATGAAATTATGTCTTCGTCAAGAGTACGAGCAAGTGTCCATGTTAGTTTCAGTCAAGGATGATAGATATTATTCAAGAAAATAAATGTCGAACATTAATGATTTTGCTAAGACCATGAAATAAAAGTAAAGAATATTTCAAAATCAGGTTTTTTGATTCTTTTTCTGTTTTTGAAAATCAGTCGTTGGTCAGCTCTTTTTTGTACTCTCCGAGTTGAACATGCCAGATTTTTACCATTTTCTCATTTATATTTTACTAAAGGGGAGGATATAGCAACAATTGAACATCTTCGAAATGCAGCAACTAACGACAATTCATGGGAGAAAATAACATCAGTAAAACATTTGGTTAAACAAATGATAGGTGATTATACTCAATTGAGTGTCGCTTCTCATACATTCAATCCATCAAACAATCCATATATAGACTTCGAAGCTACTTTACTCGCTGATATACGTCGTGTACGACGCTATTTTCATTATGTTACCAATACAGTTAAATTTATTCCTTATCTTGATCGACGTGCTGTTGAATTAGCTATTCGTGAAATAAGGTTAACATATGATGATGATGATGATAATGTTCTCAGTAATATACAAACATATTTGACAACATTCTGTCTACGAAATACTCTAGGTGATGCGAATGTCCATAAACAGCAATGTATTGAATGGACTAAAGAACGAGATCATTTATTGCTACTCAACAAGGAACGTCGTACTCAAGTTAATAAACTTGAAAAAGAAGCTAGAGCAGACAGAGACAAGATTGAAGCCTTTGAACGTGGTCTACAAAATACTTTTTCCAAAAAAGAAAGAAATTGATGTTGAAGTCAAAGATTTACTCGAAGGATTGGTCAGTAGTAAAATTACGAAACAACTATTCGATAAACACGATGAAAGAAAACGAAAGATAGAACTCATCGAGAAAGAACTTAAAGAGACTCAAATTCGTCTTCAACAAGCACAAACCCAATTGTCCGCACATAGAGCACCAATC